CTGATTTTGATAGTTGAAGGCAAAAATTGACTAAAATTCAACTTAAGGTCTTTTTGTTCTTGGGACGATTTTTTTTCGGGATTTTGGTAGAATGTAAAAAGAGAAAATTTGGAAATGATTGAAATTATCATTTAAAAAGTTAAAAAATTAAGCTTATTTATATAAATATTAAAATAGTATACATTAAATCAATATTATTTTAGCAATCAGTTAAATCCGAAAGTTCAGTTCTTAGGAACGATAAATGATAATACTATCATTTCTAAGGAACGATAAAACCATCATGCCTTAGGAATGATAAATGCATCATCCCTAAGGAACGATAAATGTATCATACCTTAGAAATGATAATACTATTATCCCTAAGGAACAATAAAACCATCCCTAAAGAATGATAATACCATCGTACCTTAGGAACGATAAAACCATCATTCTTTAGGTACAATAATACCATCATTCCTTAGATACGATAATATTATCGTCCCTAAGAATGATAAATGCATCATACCTTAGGAACGATAATACCATTATCCCTAAGAAACGATAATACTATTGTCTCTAAGGAACGATAAAACTATCCCTAAGGAACGATAATACCATCGTACCTTAGGAACGATAAAACCATCATTCCTTAGGTACGATAATACCATCGTTCCTAAGGAACAATAAATCTTAGGAACGATAATACTATCGTCTCTAAGGAACGATAAATGCATCATACCTTAGGAATGATAATACCATTGTCCCTAAGGAACGATAAATGCATCGTACCTTAGGAATGATAATATCATCATTCCTAAGGAACGATAATATCATTGTCCCTAAGGAATGATAATACCATTGTCCCTAAGGAATGATAATACAATTGTCCCTAAGGAACGATAATATCATTGTCCCTAAGGAATAATAATACCATCGTACCTTAGGAACAATAAAACCATCATTCCTTAGATATGATAATACCATCATTTTTTAGATACGATAATACCATCATCCTTAAGGAATGATAAAACTATCATTCTTTAGGTATGATAATACCGTCATTCCTAAAGAATGATAAATGCATTATACCTTAGAATGATAATACTATCGTTTCTAAGAAACAGTGCAACCGTTTCAATCGGACGTCAATCAGTTATAAATAAGATAGGTCAAATTTTGATATATGGGTTGATTGCTAGGAAAATCAGGTTCTGGGAATTTTTTAGCAAAATTGAGATTTTTATTGCATTTTAGTTTTTGATGTTTTTAGATTATGATGTATTAAGCTCTTTATTTTAGTCATAAATTTTTTAGAACCTGATTTTCCTAGAAACACTCCTATATACCAATCGGCTATAGGTATGCTAATCAGCTATAAATAAGATAGGTTGAATTTGGCTGATTCTTGGCTGATTTCTGATGTATACCAATCAGCTAGGCTGATTTTTGATAATTTGCCAATTTTAGACCGATTTTAGGCCGATTTAGGCTGATTTTAGGCCAATTTTCGCATGTCTAATTTTTTGATTTCGACCAGTAATAATCAAGGCAATATTGATTACCATCTTTCTAGACTTAAGATATTTACTCAAATTCCTGACGACAATAAGGAAGAATTATCAATAGACATAGGTAACGAACAAATTCAACATACACTCAAAGACACATTTACAAATGACAAACAACCTTTGTTTGCAGATACACCTAATGATACTGTCAAAGATACTAATATTGATAATATTGGAATACTACAAAAAGACGAAATTATTATTCCGCGTATTACACAAGTTGAAAAGAACTTAGAAATCTCAGATCTGAACTCAAATCAATCTCATTAGCATTACGCTAAGCTTTATCTATGATTAATTCATCCCAATAATTAATAATAATAAATCATATAATATCATAGGAATGACTTTGTCGTATTCTAATAATAATAGTAATTTTAATACAAATGCCTCTTTCTTTTTGTTACATAATAATTCAAACTTTTTATCTATTATTACTCATAATATTAGAAACTGTTCTGCTGATAACAAGTTACAACAAATAGAAACTTTCTTTACAAAATTAAATTTTGACATAATGGGACTTAGTAAAACTCATCTTACATATATATCAGTAAATTTAATAATGCGAAGTATTACGTAAACCCTACGCTTCGTAATCTTACGTAAGGTTACGAGCCCATCGGAAAACTTATGTATCGTAGTACTTCGATATTTTTACGATGTGTAATATTTCGAACGTTTACGATATATAAACTTTCGAAGGTTTACG